GGAGGCGGGGGCGGGGGCGGCGGCGGCGGCGGGCGCCCGGGGCGGGGCGCGGCGGGACGGGGGGGCCGCACCGGGAGGGCGGGGGGCAGCGCGGGAGGGGAGGAAGAGGAGGAGGAGGACGAGCAGGAGGAGGAGGAGGAGGAGGAGGGGGCGGGGGCCTCCCGGTGCTGCGGGCGGAGCGCGGGATAGCCCTCCCCGGTGCCGGGGCCCGGGGGACGCCCCGGTGGGAGCCGCCGCCGCCGCCGCCGCCGCCGCCGCCGCCGCGCAGCCGTGGCGTGTAACGAGCTGGCGGGTCTCGGCGGGCGGAGGGGAGGGGGGAACGCGGCTGCTCGGGGCCTCTTCCTCCTCGAGGAGGACCTGAGGAGGGTCCGGCAGACCCCCACCCGGGGCACCCCGTGCTCCCCAGTCCCGCTCCAGGGTGCCCTTTGCCGATCCCCGTCCCGCCTGGACATCGCAGGCACCGGCGGGCAGCCTGCGGCGCCGGTTACGGACCCGGGCAGGAGCAACTGTTCCATTTCTGTAAATAAAGCCCTCATTACCGCGTCATTTTCCACTTTTGTTGACACAGTGGCCGGTGACATTCGTCCCTTTCACTTTTAAGGCTGAAATGACGGAGACATTCCAGGTGTGGAGTGTTCCCGGAATGAGGACGCTGAGGAACGCGGTGGGAAATGGGCCAGTGATGGACAAGTCATTAATGTCCCCACAGTGCCCTCAGGGCAGAGCACGGTCATCACCCACGCAAAATCAGCCCCAATTTCTCCCCTCCCGGACGAGTAACTGGATAAAAGCCTTGTGGAGTGCCGGCTCCAGCAAAGCGACGTTGAGGCACATCGAGCCAGAAGGCCGGTAGCCAGCTGGCCACCGCAGCGCTGGGCACTGATGGGTGCAGTGCACTGGTGTATGCGGTGCACGGCTGTGTGCGGTGCAGGGGGACGGGCGGCTGCAGCCCCGCGTGTGTGCCCGTGGCAGAGGGAAAGATGGAGGAGGGAACTAAGATCATTCCTGATGCCCCCTGCCCGCCTCGTGCCGGCCCATGCCCCTGAGCTGGAGCCCAAGGATGCCTCCACAGCCCCCAACTCCCTGTGCAGCCCCCAGCTCCCTCTGTAGCCCCTGGGTCCCTCCCAGTCCCCACCTCCAGGCTGACCCCGCCTCGGGATCGGCGGGGTCGTCTCCTCTCCCCACCCCCACTTTCCAATCCAGGACATTTGGGTTGCCAGCACGGAACGCCGTCTAATCTGCCCTCTAATCCCGCAGCCGGGCGGCCGCACGGGCCCTGAGCCGCCGCGGGGCTCCCCGGGCTGGGGGCTGGGGCCGGGGCTCCGCACGCGTCCGGGGGCCCCGCCGGGTCAGGGGCTTCCTTCACATCTGCCACCACCTGATAACAAGCGAGGCTCCTCAACAAAGGTCCCTTTGTGCCCCACAGCTCCCTCCTGCTGGGCTCCCACACCCAGTCACCCAGCACAGACACGGGACGGGGCAGCCCCTGCCCCGGTGGCCTCACCGGGCACTGGGACCTCTGTGACCGGGACACGATGCGGGGCTCTGTGGGGCCAGTGGGGTGCACCAACGCTGTCCCTCCTCCCTGGCTGTGCCAGGCTTTGCAGGAGGAGCTCCAGCCTCGCGTTCCTGCGGCTCCCTCGGGCTCTTGCCAAGTCGGGTTGGTCTTTGCAGAGCAGAAGAATGTGCAGTGAAATGTCCCTGTTCCTGCCTTGCACACGCCGAGAGAAACCAGCGCCCGGAACAGGCAGAGCCCGCAGGCACGGGGGGTTTGGGGTGGGCACCGCAGGGAACAGGCACGTGGAAACCCGACTGTGGGATACGGAGGCACCACCGGCTGCAGGAGGGCTCGTCCCACGCTGAGATCCCCACGCATCCCCCCCCAGCTGCTTTTCCGATGGGAATGGAGTGCAGTGAGGCCCCTGCCTGGGCGCAGGAGGCAGCAGGGGTCTGGGAACACATGGGGCCCTGGGCACTGGATTAATGAAGAGCAAGGAAGAGATGAAGGCAGGGTTTGGAGGGTGGCTTGGCTCGGGACGCTCACCCCCCTCCCAGCGACCAGGGATTCATGGTGGCTGAAAGCGGACACGGGGTTGGGGAGAGAGTGCTGGTGGGAGCCTGACAGGGCCCCTGCACACCCCCCTGTCACTGCCCCGTCCCGGGTTCCAGCCCTCTCCCTGTGCCATGCAGCACCCAGCACCAGCTCTGAGCTGGATCCCGCCCTGCAGGGAGGGCACGGCCACCCTTGAGGCCAGCACGAGGTGTCCCCATGAGCTCTGTCACACTCTGCCCTGAGGCTTGCCAGCCCCTCCAGCTCCAGCAGAGCCAGAGCAGGGGCCCAGGACAGACCTCAACCCTCCACACCGGCCCCAGCTCCCCCTTCCGTGCGTGGGGGCCACGACACAGAGCCATGGCCCCTCCAGCACCAGCAGCATCTATGAAAATACTTTATTGTGGAGCTGGGTGTGCAGGGCTCTGTACAGCACGAGCAAACAGACACGAGGCGCTGGCCCCCGAAGACCAGCCAGGGGGGCAGAGAGAGCTGGGGGGGCTGCAGCCCCTACGTGGCCTTGGGCCGGCCGTTGAGGCGGATGATGGCCCGGTAGTCCCGTACCAGGTCCCGCAGCTGGTCCAGGTAGGGGTTGACGTTCTCCTCCATCCACTCCTCCACCGTGTCTGGGAAGTAGACCCTCTCCAGCTGGGCACGCAGGTCACGGACGAAGCTCTCCCAGTCCTCATGCAGCCTGGTGGGGGGAGAGCAGGGGTCCAGCTCCCTTCTGTGAGCCTGGGACCCCTTCCAGCCCTGCAGAGGCACCCGAGGGGGCTCCCAGCCCCCAGCACCACATACTTCAGCACCTTGCTGCCAAAGCTCTCCATGTTGCGGGGGTTCCCAAAGCGGTGCTTCCGATGGTAGGGGCTGAACCAGCCCTTGATGGCACTGGGGAGGTACGAGGGAGTGGGGGGCACAGGGGCCACCAGGGATGGGGAGCTGCATGTCAGGCAGGCTCCCTCCCATGGAAAAACTCTCGTGCTCCAGTTGCCCAAGCCACCAACCCTGCTGCCTCCCGCCGCCTGTTACCTCTCCTCCTCCAGAGCCTTCAGGATGCTCTCCTTCAGGTGGCCATTAACCTGCTCCACCATGTGGTAGATCTCCACACCAGGGAACGCTCCCCTGCCCTCGCTGGGAAAGGGGAGGCCAAGGTGAGAGCCCAGCATGTGGAATGCACTGGGCTGGGTGAATCCCAGCACTCTGCGTGGCTGGAGGGAATTTGGGTGACCAACTCCCTAGTCCCCTCCAGTGCATCCCTTCTGATGCAATTGGGGTGGTCACGCACCAGGTGCTCTGCTCCAGCTGCACGCTCTCCAAGCCCAGCACATCCAGGACCTTCCTCTTCGCCTCTTCTGTGAAGCCCCCTGGGAAGGGTGAGGAGAGGGACAAAAAGGCTTGGGCCACTCCACAATCAGGCTCACCCCTGGCTTCACCACACCCCCAAAACCGGAGAGACTGAAGCTCTTCCTCCCCTGCCTCCCACCTCCCCCCCGTCCCCTTCCCGGCAGGACAGGCTCTGGCAGGCAGTGGGAGGTGGGGGTGAGCCCGGCTGTGCCGGCAGGGCCGCTGGCTCACCGTTCACCAGGGTCTGCAGGCAGATGGCCAGCGAGGGGATGCCGACGGGCAGCAGCTCGCAGAGCACTGAGTAGTGGTCGTACCTGCAGGGTGGGGACAGCCACGCCATCGCCTCCTGCGCCGCTGCCAGCGTGGCTGTGTGGGCACCGGGGCGGCAGGGAGGGGGTGCTGGTGCCCCTCACCTCTGCCAGCCGGTGAGCACGATGCCCTGGAAGCGCAGCGGGGCCAGCCGTGGCAGGGCCTGCATCACCTTCAGCCAGCTCAGGTGGTTTTTCAGGTGGTAGCTCAGGGGGGTCCAGGTCTGCGCCGGCCCCGTGGTGCCCTTGAAGGCGCTGGCGAACCAAACTGCCTCGAAGCCACTCTCTGCATACTTGGTGAGGAACGGCTCTGCAGTGGGACAGGCACGAGCCGTCAGTGCCACTGCGCCCAGGAGGCTGCGGGGAGCTGGGGGCAGATCCCCCCACCGTCCCCAGGAGCCTGGCACGTCATCTTACCAATCTGCTCAGCCTCGAAGTCGGGCGCGTAGAACCACACCACGGGTGAGACGTGCTTCGCTATCCCAGACTCTGCAGGGAGGGCAAGACGGGGACACTGGCACTGTTGCCAGCAGCAGGAGCATGCCTGGGGACTCCTCAGCCCGAGACCCACATTCCCGCAGGGCTAGGCATGGGCTCCTGCCAGCACCAGGCATGACACGTGCCAGGGCAGCCACGTGAACGGGCACTGCCGAGACACAGGACAGACCTCGGCTGACACCCGAGGCACCACTGTCATCCCCGTCCCCTCACCCCGCAGGGCTCCCACGCTGATCTTCCTCAGCATGTCGTCCCACATGAGCACCCGCAGCCCCCAGTACTGCGCAGAGAGGAAGCCCAACACCTCCTTGATGTGCTTCAGGAACATGGTCCCCACGTCGCCCTTGTTGCGGCTCATCCAGCTCTTGGAGTCCATCCCCTCCCCGAGGTGGAAAACCTGGACTTGGGGGAAGGGGGACGCTCAGCACCCCTGGGAGCACCCCCGGGGCGAGGGCTGGGGTCCCTGCACAGCCCATGCCCACCTCATCCGCGCCGATGTGGATCCAGGTGGAGCGTCTGTGCTTCTCGATCACCTGCGCCAAGACGCTCCTGAGCAGGGCCAGGGTGTTGGGCACGTGGGGGTTGAAGCTGTTGGGGAAGCGCTCGACCTCCCGCAGGTGCTGGTACTTCTCGTGCTTGAGGATGAACTGCGGGAAGGAGCCGTCACGGGGGGTTTCCAGGGGAACCCCCTGTGATTTGGGATGGGGAGCAGGGCCGGGACCCCCTACCTCCACATGGCCAAAGGTCTGCACCAGGGGAACCACCTCCAGCTTGTGCTGCTCCGCCAGCTGCTGGATCCGCTCGATGTCCTCCTCGCTGGGAGGGCAGGGACAGGCTCACCGGGGGATGCCAGGGCGGAGGGCAGAGCTTGGGGCACTTCCCCTCCTCCTCTGGCACCCTGCCCATATGGCCCCCGCCACCCCACACATGCGTGGACTTTACTAAGGGGCACAAATATTGTCCCAGCAGGGCAGGAAGCCGGTCTGCCGGCGGCACAGCCTGGCACTCCGACCACGGTTATCGCAGGCACGGGGCCAGGTGGGTCACACCCAGCCCTGGCACAGCAGGGCCCAGGCAGCTCGGCACACAGCCCTGCTCACCTGTAAGCGTACGGGGACCTGAGGACTTCCAGCTCCCCCTTGAAGGGGAACATGTCCTCGTACTCGATGAGGATGCCGTTGGCTCCCAGCTGGGACAGGAAGGGGAACACCTGCAGGGCGGGCAGGGTGGGCTCAGCAGTGGGGACAGCACGGCAGGTTGAGCCCCCCCAGCACATCCCTCCTTGGCACCTTCTCCCTGCCGCTGGGCACCCTCACCTGCTCCAGGTAGGAGACCCTGGGTGCGGCTCCCTTGAGGTCCAAGTGGACCAGCCTCATCTCGGTGGCACTGACATCCCTGGGGACCTGCTGCCCAGGCTCTTGCCTCAGGGCCGTTATCTTCGCCTCAGGGAGCTCCAGAACCTGGCTCTGGGGGATGACATCCTGGACGATGTCACCTGTGTCCCCCCAGAACCGGCTGTCCTTGCTGACGTGCTTGTGCAGCTCCAGGGTAAAGCTGCAGGGAGTGGAGCAGGGACGGGGGTGACACAGGGCACCAGCTGCCCCCCAGCACCAGGCACCTGCCTGGGCATGACCCAGGGGCTCCCCACAGACCCCCAAACCCCCTGGGGTCCTGCTGTCACCTCACCTGTCACGGAAGAGGAACTTGATGCCGGCCAAGGCGATGAGGAGCAGCACGACAAGGCGCAGCAGGTTCAGGCGGTGGCTCCGCTGGAAGGCCATCTCTGGGGACACACACAGGGTCCAGCAGTGGCCCGAGGGACCCCAAGCACAGGTGACCCTGCACAGCCCCACATACTGTGCCCTGCTCCCCTGACCGGGGCAGCACGAGACCCAGAGAAAGGTGACATGGGGGGAACCCCTCTGGCACCCTGGTCCCCATCAGGGACGTGCACAGCCGTGCTCTGTGTCCCTCCTACCTCGTGTGCCCCAGCGTGGGGCCAGCGGCTGGATCAGCCTCTCTCTCTGCCTGCAAGGGTGTGGCCAGTGCCGGAGCAAACAGGGCGGTGCTGCAGGGCAGGTCCTCCACGGGGATCCCCTCCGGCTGTGGGGTCACCCCCCGAGACAGGGGCCGTGTCACAGCTCGGCAGGGTGGGGTGGCATCAGGGGGTGGGCACGGCACAGCCCTGCTGATGGGGGAGAGGTGATTGGGGACCACCCGGGCACACGCCAGCGCTGGGCTGCTCCAAGGACAGCACCAGCACAGCCATGGGCACTGGTGGGGTGAGGGTGGCAGCCTGGACCCCCTTGGCACCCACAGGGGCCATGTGAAAAACCATGCTGTGCCCAGTTAAAGCAGTGCTCGATCCCTGGCAGGACACAGGACAGGCCGTGCAGGCTGCAGGGATGAGCTCATGTCACAGAGGTGTCACAGTTAAGATGAATAAATTTCGTTTGACATATTTTCTTCGTAAACTAATTTTGAGAACTCCTGAGACGAGGAGTTCAACTCAGATGAAAGTGAGCCCAAATCAAAGCAGCCTCCATGGAGCAGGAGGTGGCAGCTGCCCCATCCCTATCTCCCACAGCCACAGCTGGAGGGACAGCACAGAGTTCCTTATCCAGTGGCACACGACCAGCCCCAATTCCCAGACTGCCCACAGTGTCCCACACAGGGGCACTGTGGCTGCAGCAGGAGATGCTCAGCCAGGCCAGACCCTGGTGAGTGCAGCACTGGGGACACTGCTGTCACTGGGGCACCACTCCCAGGAGCCCCAGGAGCCACCAGCCTCTGCAGCCCCAACACAAACCCTGGAAAAACACCACAGCACCCCGTGTCCTCCGCTCCCACAGTCCCCTCGGGCTCCTCCTCACCCGCAGCCCTGTTCCCAGGTGACAAGGGTGATGCCAGCTCCTACCCCAGGAGCCCAGAGCTGCCCTCCTGTGGGCAGCACGTCTCCCTTGGCCCCGCAGCACAACAGGCAGGAGGCAGCACAGATTCTCCCGGGAGCCGCACACAAGCATCATTTCTGCCTTTTCCCCCCCTCTTTTATTTTCCAGTCCTGCTGTATTTGTTGAGGCAGGGATGGGGCAGTGCATCCAACCCCAGCCCCTCAGGGGCAGGAGCCTGCTTTTGGGGAGCAGGAGCCTGCTTTTGGGGAGCAGGCTGTTCCCTGCACTCCCTTCCCTGCACGGACAAGGCGCCTCATGGCACTGCACCTCCTGTGCTCCGGGGGATAAGTGTGGTACCCACTTCCTGCCCTGCCCAGGATGCTCCTGGCAGCTCCAGCACAGCCCAGCAGGGATGTGCCAGGCTGGGGACAGCTGCCAGCCTGGGGGTCACCCCAAGTGCACAGGAAGGCACAGAGGGGACACGGGAGGGGGGTCAGTGGCCCTGTGGTGCACGGCATGGGGAGCCCAGCACCCAGGAAGGCCATAAATACGCCAAGTGCTAATGGGGCTGTCATGGGAACACAGCGCCTGACCGGAACAGGGATAAATATTTAGACAGATGCTGTCAGCTCGCCAGGATTCGGCGTTTTTAATGTACGTTCTGTTATTTAAATAGGGCAGGTTCCCAGGGCCTGAGTTCCCAGGCAGCCAGGGGGGTGGGATGGGTGCTGGCCAGAGTTGGGGGGGCAGCACCAAGGGGTGATGGGGGCAGCCAGGACACCACATCCCTGTGCCATCGGGACATCCCTTGGCACGAGGGCTCAGCTGATGGATGCTGCCCCTCTAACCCGACATCTTGCCTCTAGCACCCGCTATATTTATTAACGTCACATCTTCCGCTGCCAACGCTTCGGGGACGGCGCTGGCACAGCCCCCGGGAGGCTCGGAAGAGCCCACGGCTCCTCACAACCGGCCAGTCTGACTCAACGCCCTCATGGTGATGGGGTGAGGAGGGGCCAGACCCTCATCCCCCCTCCCTGCCTCCACACAGCCCACGTGGGTTTTGCTTCCAGCTCCCCAAATCCAGCCCAGCTCCCCACTTACCTGCCTGAGCCCCAAGCCCCGAGGAAGATGGAAGCAAACCCAAACCTGCGCATGGAGAGCGCCGGGCCATGGGGAGGATGGAGCCGAGTGCCCCCGGGGTGGCAGGTGCCACTGCTGCCCACTGGGTACCTGCAGGTGCCACTGCAGCCCACGGACCAGCAGTGAGGGTTTTGGGTGCCACTCAGCTGCCCAGCGCTCTGGTGTTCCCTGTTCCCACTGTTTCCGTGCCAAACCCTCGCTCCCTCCGCACAAATGGCTGTGGGGGGAGTGACGCTGCTCCGTGTACACTTGTGTGCACACACACGTGTGCACACTCACACATATGCACACTCACATGTGCACATGCTCAGGTGCTTCCAGAGCATTCCATGGCCAGCCTGGCCAAGGCCATTCTGTATTCCCAGCCTGTGCCACCCCACAGGATGAGCTGCCCCTCCCCAAAGGCCACGGTGCTGCAGCCCCACATCCCGGGGCTCCTGCGAGGAGAGGCTGTGGACTCCCCTTGGGGCTACAGCCCCTTGGCAGCAGGAGGGGCTGTTCCCCCAGTCCCCGGGCACAGCTGGCCCCTGTCCCATCCCGCATCCCCCCAGGACAATGAGGCACCCCCTGGGCCTTTCCACACCCCACCCAGCCCTCTGTGCCGTGGGCTCCACCTGCACCCTGCAAACCTGGCGCACCCCACAATGCCCACACCAAGGGCATCCACTGGGCATTCCCGTGCCCTACGTTACCCTCCAAACTCTGCTTGGCATCCCTGCAATCCCCCCGAGCATCCCTGCAATCGCGCCCGAGCATCCCTGCATCCCCCCCGGCTATCCCTGCATCCTTCCCGAGCATCCCCGCATCCTCCCGTCACCGCTCCCCGCCGCGGCCACGGGCATCCCCGCATCCCCCCGGCCTCCCCGCGGCCCCGAGCATCCCGCGCTGTCCCGGCTCTTACCGGCAGGTGCGGGGCGGCCGCGGGCACCGCCGGGAGCGGGCGCGAGCGCGGGCACGGGCACGGGCACGGGCACGGGCACGGGCACGGCCGCCGCCGCTCTTAAAGGGCCCGGTGCCCGCCGGTGCGGCAGCAGAGGAGGGGGTGGCGGGGCCACCGCACCCAGCGGGGACCGTGCCCGCGACCCCGCACGGGGGGGACCACCGGCAGCGCGCGGAGCCGCCGCCCGCCCCGCCCGGGGCCGCACCGGCACAACGGGCGGCTCGGCGGTGCCCGCTGCGTGCCCGCTGTGTGCCCGCTGTGTGCCCGGTGCGTGCCCGGTGCGTGCCCCGTGCCCGGCTCCCGTTGCCCGTCCGGTGCCCGGTGCTTGGTGCCCGCTGTGTGTCCAGTGCCCGCCCCGCCCCGCGGTGCCCGGTGTGCTCTCCGTGTGTGCCTCCTGTGTGTCCCGGCTGTGCTCCGTGCCCACTGGGCACCCCGTGTGCAGTGTGTGCCCCATGCCCGGTGTGTCCCATGCCCAGCGTATGTCCCACGCCCAGCGTGTACCCGGTTCCCGGTGTGTGTCCCATCTCCCCTCTCCCACATCCCATATCCCATGTCCCATGTCCCATATCCCGTATCCCCAATCCCACGCCCCCTATCCCACATCCCGTTCCCTCTCCCCCCCCATCACTGCGCCCCCTGGCGCGGGCTCTGGAAGCTGCCCCCCCCTTCCCCGTGCTCCGTGGTCTCACCTTACCCCCCTCCCTCCTCCCCACCCATGGTACGTCCCACCGCTCCGCTCCCGCGCATGCGCACTCCCGCCAGTGGCGGCCTGAGCCTGTACCGCGCGCATGCGCAGAGCCGGGAGCCGGAAGGGACCGGGGAGCACCGGGAGCACCGGGAAGGGGGAGCGGGGCCGGGTAGGGAAGGGAGCGGGGGGAGCCCCGCCGCTGTGAGAGACACCCCGCCGCTGTGACAGACACCCCGCCGGTGTCAGCGGCGCGGCGGCACCGGGATCGCGAGTGCGGCGGGCCCGAGCGGGCCCCGCGGCGGCAGCATGAACGCGGCCCAGGGCACGGTGGGCAGCGACCCCGTCATCCTGGCCACGGCCGGCTACGACCACACCGTGCGGTTCTGGCAGGCGCACAGCGGCATCTGCACCCGCACGGTGCAGCACCAGGACTCCGTATCCTTCCCGGGGCTCGGGGCGCCGCGGGGCGGGCCCGGCCGATGCTCCGTACCGACCTTAACGGCGCCCGCAGCAGGTGAACGCCCTGGAGATCACGCCGGACCGGAGCATGATCGCGGCCGCAGGTGAGCACGCCCGTCCCGCCGGGCACGCCGCGCACACCGGGCACGCCGGGCACACCGGGCACACCGGGCACGCCGGGCACGGGGACGGCGCCCACGCCCTGCCCGGTGCTTGCAGGGTACCAGCACATCCGCATGTACGACCTCAACTCCAACAACCCCAACCCCGTCATCAACTACGACGGCGTGAGCAAGAACATCACGTCGGTGGGGTTCCACGAGGACGGGCGCTGGATGTACACGGGCGGCGAGGACTGCATGGCCCGCATCTGGGACCTCAGGTGGGCACGGGGGGCTCCCCTCCTCCGGCAGAGTCCTGGGGCTGCGGGGCTGATCCCAGGCTCCCAAACACGCCCCCCTCCTCACTGGCTCTTGCAGGTCCCGGAACCTCCAGTGCCAGCGCATTTTCCAGGTGAACGCTCCCATCAACTGTGTGTGCCTGCACCCCAACCAGGTGAGCAAACTGGCTCCTTCCTTGGGCTCCCAGCACACTGAATCCTGAGGAAGGGATCTTCAAGTTCACCTCGTTCCAACTCCCTGCCACGGACACCTTCTGCTATCCCAGGTTGCTCAAGCCCTGTCCTGCCTGGCCTTGGACACTTCCAAGGATGGGGCAGCCACAGCTCCTCTGGACAAGTTGTTATGTGGCTCCTCTGGGTAAATCTGAGGGGCTGCAGAGTTGTATCCTAGCAGCAGATTTTGGGAGGGTGGCTGGGGTGGGTGACCTTCCTGGTGGCACAGACCCGTGGGCTCTTGGTGGCATTGCAGGACGGGCAGCAGCCTCCTTCCCACCCCCCATCTGCCCCCTGCCTGGCCACACTGCTGGTGCCAGGAGCTTTGGGTGGCACTGCTGGCAAGAAAAAGCATCTCAGGGCCCACAGCCACGATTCCCATCAGGTTTGGTTGAGATTCACCAGTGGGTTCAGCAGCTGTTGCTGAGCAGAGGGAGGGCTGGGGCTTGGAATGAGGCTGAAGGGAATGTGGTGCATTAGCAGGGAAATCAATAGGGATCATTGCAGTGCCAGTGACTCTGCTGGGCTGCAGGGCTGTGGGTTTGCCTGCAGACAGGGCAGTGCAGACCTTTGTAAAATGCTGAGTAATGGAAGTGTTCCTTTGCATTTCATGTGGCAAAGGTTTAATTTTGCAGATCGGGAATTTCAGACCAGATTTGAGACCAGTTATTTGGACCAGACTTTACCCAAATGCTCCTGTAGTGTCAGTGCTGTGAAAATATGTTATGGTGAAAAAAAGTATTGCTGCACATAGGTCTCAGATGGGAAATAATCACTGACCAAAATGCTGCTGAGGTGCAGAGTGTTGGTTTGTGAGCAGAACATGGTTAATTAGTCCAAAGGTGGCAGCATTTCTTCAGATAGGTCCATGGCTCTGCAATTCCCTCTGCAGAGATGCTGCTCCAGTTATCCCAGATTCCTCATGGCCTGGGTAAATCGGGATGGCTTTAGGAATTGCACTTTACACCTGCTAAGAGGGGCTGAGGATTAAGGTGCCCAGAAAAGGCTTCTGTGCAGTCAGGTAAATATATCAGTGGTGTTTGTCTTCCTCAGAACAAGGCTGTGCTCCCAGGCCCAGGATTAGCTGTGCCTGATGACCTGATCTCCTCTAGGGATTCTGCTGGAGTTGTGGGCAGTGCAGGGCCGTCGATAAAGCCCTGCCTGAGTGGAGGGATGCCAGCATTGTCCTCTGCTCTGAGCGTGGGATCAGAGCCAGGACTCTGCCCTTCAGCTGGCTCTTGTCCTTCCCCTGAGAAGGCGTGAGAGAGAGAAAAAAACCACTCCAGGTTGTGTTTTTCAGGTATCTGTGCGCTCTTGAGTGCTTCAGTTGTTCGCTGGCCAACCTGCATCTAAATGCTTCCTCTCAGATGTGCTGAAAATCACTTGGCTCCCGTAGATTTTGTTTGGAGCTGTAGGTGTGCAGCACCTGCTGTGTGCTCTGGGGTTTAGAAAATTAACAAACGCTTCTGGGAAGGGAAACAGCCTTTTGCAGAGTGTAACAGGAGTCAGGACTTGGCTTGCTCTCCGTGCAGCCACTGTGTGGAACAGCCCTGTGCTGGGGAAAAAGGAGGCAGAACAGGACCCTGATGCTTCAGAGCAGAGCAGGGCTCCCCGTGGTGCTGCACGGGCACGATCAGGGTGTCAGCTCAGGGCTGCTGCTCACGGGGGGAGGGCTGTTCCCTTGCAGGCAGAGCTGATCGTGGGTGACCAGAGCGGTGCCATCCACATCTGGGACCTGAAGACCGACCACAATGAGCAGCTCATCCCGGAGCCCGAGGTGTCGGTGAATTCTGTGCACATCGACCCCGACGCCAGTTACATGGCGGCTGTGAACAGCTCGGTGAGCTCGGGGGCCGAGGGATGGGATGGGGGAATCCAGGCTGGCTTTGGGGGGCACAGATCCCACTGTCTCTCCCCAGGGAAACTGCTACGTGTGGAACCTGACGGGCGGCATCGGCGAGGAGGTGACGCAGCTGATCCCCAAGACCAAGATCCCGGCGCACAATCGCTACGCCCTGCAGTGCAAGTTCAGCCCCGACTCCACGTGAGTGTGGGCAGCCCTCTCCTCCCTCCCATGGGAAACACGGGCCTTCCCGGGCAGGCAGAGCCCAGCTGTGCCCCCAGCTGTGGCTGATGCTGGCTCCACGCTGCAGGGCCCCGGGGAGGAGGCAGGGGATGTGTCACCACGGGGTTGCTCTCAGTCGTGTCCCGCTCGTGCTCCCTGAGCTCAGCAAGGTTTGCAGCCACGAGCTGTTCCTGCAGCTGGGATCCCACTGCTGACCTCCAGGAGCAGAGTGTGAGCTCCTTCATGGAGTCTGGTCAGCTGAAGTCTCATAAATCAGAAGATACAGGTGTAAGGAGACGTGAGTGCAGTGAAGGCAGGTCTCCAGGCCATCACTGGCCAGGCCCATGGTGACCAGAGGCCTGTAGGTGCACAGTGTGACTGACAAGGTCACCCTCACACGGCTCCTCCTTGCAGGCTCTTGGCTACCTGTTCTGCAGATCAGACTTGCAAGATCTGGAGGACTTCAAACTTCTCTCTGATGACAGAGCTGAGCATTAAGAGCAACAACCCCGGGGAGACGTCTCGGGGCTGGATGTGGGACTGTGCCTTCTCCGGGGACTCCCAGTACATCGTCACAGGTGAGGCTGTGCCAGGGCCCTGCACCAGCACAGGGCCAACCATTTCCTGTGGCTGGGACATTGCCAGACCTGGGCATGGGTGTGGGTGGGGTGGGAGCACCCAGGCTCACCCCTCCAGCACGTTCTGCTGAACTCCCTGGAGCATTCTGCCTGTGCTGCAAGAGACACCTGTTTAAAGCAGAGAGGGGGTCTCCAGGCTGCAGTTGGTCTCCCCTGGGATCAGTGCTGCTCGCAGTGTGCAGCGTGGTTGTCCCTTCAAAACAAACCTGTGGTGATTTCCACAGTCACTGCTCTTTATTAAAATCCCAGTTAATACAGAAATGCACTGAGCTGCTCTGCCTTGCTGCTCATCACCAGCCCTAAGGATGGTGGTGAGTGAAGCAAGAGGAAACTATTTCTAATAATAATAATAATAAAAGGAGAAGTTTAAATTGTAATGCTACACATCTCACTCCTTTTTTCACTCTTTGTTTCAGCCTCCTCTGATAACCTGGCCAGACTTTGGTGTGTGGAGACAGGAGAGATCAAGAGGGAGTACAGTGGCCACCAGAAAGCCGTGGTCTGCCTTGCCTTCAACGACAGCGTGTTGGGATAATGGGCATGTGTGGGAAGGAGAGGAGCTCTGTGTTTCCCCTTGCCTTGCAGTGACAAGGACCCTCTCCAGAGCCAGGACATGCACTGTGCCCATCCCCTCCCTGATGGAGAGGGCTGGGGCTCTGGCAGAAGCAGCTGCAGCTGCCTGGGGTGAGACCAGGCTTCAGCTCTGAGCAGGACATTGCTGAAATGTGTGTGGCCTCTAAGGGAGGGAATGGGACAGGGAGGCACGATCCCACTGCAGGGAGACAGGTACAGTTGAGCTGGAGGAATCCCTGTGGCATCAGCTGCTGACAGCTTGGTATGTTCTTGTACCCCAAAGTGGGAGAAAAATAAAAATGAGACTTTCTAAGGGATGGAAGAGGCTGAGCAAAGAGGAAAGGCAGCTCTTGACTTGGTTTGCAATCCCTTTATTCAAAGTGTTTCACAAAGTGACTTGGAGAGCTGCTCTCCTAAAGCCAACAACCCCAACAAATGTAACCACCTTGTGCTGGGCAGGGCACGGAGCCCCAGAACACCAACTACTCCCTGGGATCCCTCTAGGCCTGGGGCTCCTAATTCCTATGGACGTGGCAGCCCTGGGGCAGAGCTGCAGGGAGTGTCTGTGCTGACAGTGCTGAGCAGAGGCCTCTTGTTTCTCTAAACCCTCCTGAGGTGCAGCATGAAATCAGCAGGAGGCTCTGGGGATGGTGTGGGTGTTACCTTCCTTGTGGAAATCAGAGGCTTTTCAGGAATCCAGTTCAAGTATGTAGGGCAGCAAGAGGGCGTCCACGGCTCAGCACTTACTCAGGGAGGTAATAGAAGCAGATAGAGACACAGATGTTGCTTGGAAAGCAGATGTCAATGCACAGGTAGATGAGCCGCTGCCTCCCAGGACCTGCCAACAAGCAAGGACAGGAGCGGGTGAGGGGAATGCTTGGATGCTGCAGCTGTGACTCCCTGGGGAGCCAGGCAAGTGGAAAGCCTCAGGGAATGACCTTCCTCATTAAAGCTGGAGCAAGACAGGGCAGACTGACAGCTGGGCAGGCTGCTTGTGGTGAGGATGAAGGTGACAGGGATGAAGGCAGCAGTGTCCCAGGGGACAGCTCTGTGTGCTGGCTGTGCTGTGCTGTGCAGTCGGGCTGTGCTGCCCGGGGTGGGGGCTCGGAGCCCATCCCAGCCAGGGCAGGGTGTGGGTACGAGCCAGCACAGGGGGATGGTGAACAATGGTTTGATTTTGCACTAGAGGTCACCTGTCCCTGTCCTGGGCCTTGGCAGCCTGTCCTGGGATGCGTCAGCTTTTGTGCAGCAGAGCCTGATCCTCTTAGAGGTGCGAGAAAAGCTCGTGCTTCCCCCCCCAAGGGGACTGTCCCGCTTACCCTGCCCTCTGCGGACCCAGAAGATGGACGTGTGCTCACACAGGCTCTGCACAGCCTCCCCCAGGCCCTGGGGCTCCACCTGCTCCCCCGGCAGGATGCCCAGGAACTCCCGGTAGTACTTGGTCTGGTTGTTGTGACGTAGCAGCTGCTCGGCCTGAAAGAAGCATCCCTGTTAAATCCTCCCAAGGCACTTTGTCCCTCCAGCTCCACAGACCTGCTCTGCCTCCCAGGGCACCCTGGCAGTGGTCTGTACCCTGGCAGTGGTCAGGTTTCTCCTGCCAGCTGCCCTGTCCCACAGGAGTGGGGATATGGATAAACCCGAGGGCTGCTGCTCTGAGCTTACCCAGAGCCCAGCCTGGCGGGCACAGCCCTGCTCCTGTGCCAGCCCCCCCGGCAGGAATTGCAGAGAACAGGGGGCTGACACTGCTCCCTGCAGCTGGGAGAGCCCAGGCCCTCCTCCAGCCACGCCTGGGCTGCTGGTGTGGGGAGTGACCACTGCAAATCCACGCAGGAGGGGGACTTCAGTGAGCCAGGACCCCGTGCAAGGCCCAGTCCATCCTCCATTCCCACAACTGCCCCCACCATGGCCACAGCAGCTGCTCACCCTCTGCTCAGACACGTTGAGAGCTGCCTGCAGGGTTTGCAGGTCCCAGGGGTCCATCCTCCTCAGGTAGCACGTGCTCTGCTCCACAGGCTTGTAGCACACGTAGCCCTGCCAGACAGACAGACCTCAGAGCAGGCAGGACACACACCCACAGCTGGCTGAGGAACCCCAGAAACGGACATTGCTCCTCTCCCCTGCATCGTCTTCCCCGACTAAAGGTGCAGAGAAAGGCACCAAGCTGGTGGGTGTTCCTCCCGGCCCACGCCTCCTGCTCCCACACCAGCAGCTGGGGCTGCTCTGCTCACCCCCCCAGCCCCAGGCACTGCTCTGCTCACCCCC